TTTTCACACTCAACCGAATTTGCATTAGAGGCTTCCATTAAAGAAAACCCTCTGTGTTCTATTATATAGGTAACTCTCAATCCATGGTAAGGCAGAGGATGTAAATCCATAACACCTAAGTTCTTTCAGCAATAGGTTATGATCGATGATATCAAAAGCTGCACTGAAATCTAACAAAACATCTCCCAAAATCTTCTTATCAATTTCAGTGCCAAGCATGTTAAGTGTCCTTCCCTATAAGCATGCTGGAAGTCTGTTGTTAATTTGTTTTCTATAAAATATCATTGTATTTGGTCAAACACCATTTTTTCCAAAAGTTTGCTAAGCATCAGTAACAGGCTGATTGGTTGGCTGTTTGAACCATTAAAGGGTGCTTTGCTATACACACGTTTTTGAGCCGTTTCCGCTCTACTTCCTGAACTCCTCCCGTCGATGCAATCCACTTCTGTTCTGCCGGGCTGGGTTTGTTTTGCTAGCTAGCTCCGTTGTGCCGACAAAGCACTGATATCGCAGTGACAAAGAGGATATAAAAATTACAATTACAACATGAAGAAAAGTGGTTCGGGAACGACGTGTGCGGTAGTTGGTTGCAAAAACTCGAGAAAGCACCTGAACGAGTGGTTAGATAGAGGCAATGTCCATGCGCTCCATTGTTTACATTTTTTTGCAAGCCTGATACCGACTCGGAATCAAGGACCTGGCTGAAGGCATTGAATCTAAAGAAACCACCCCTCAACGTTTTTGTTTGTTCCTATCACTTTGTTGACCAAAAACCTACCAAGGATAATCCTTTCCCAGAGTTGTGGTTGGGATACAATCGCCCTCCCCAGCCAAAGAGGCGTCAACTCACCCAGCGGACCACTGCCTCCCCCCAGATAAAGAAACACAGACTTGAATCTGAGGGTAAGTTCAGCAACTTTAGCTATGAAGCTGACAATACTGTTAATTATGAAGAAGTTGTCATACATTAACATTGCTACCGGTATTTTGCTAAGGCAGTTGATTGTTTTGGAGATGGGACAAACAATGCCCACGATAGCTACATCATTAATTGTGTGTGTGTGTGCCTGCCTGCGTGTGCCTTAGTCTACATCATAAATACAATGCAAGGTGGCAGGCTGTTGTGATGATGATTGTGTGTGTGTGTGCGTGTGAGTGCAATGTTGTATTACACATTTTTCCATTGTGATGTTTGTAGTGAGAGGACTCTATGCCTGCATTAATTTTGCTCCATCCATGTTTTCTCTTCCCCTTTTTAGATGCTCCAGAAACCTGTCAGCCTGTCTGTGAGGCCGAGCCTGCTACACCAAAATTTCAAGATGCCCAGACCCAATGGGAGGATCCGTCACATATTGATCACATTTACTGTTCAACAACACAGTCTGTTAAAGTAGACAAGGCCACACAGTGCGAGGCAGAAATGGGTCCTACTGTGACCAGCACCACGGTCATTGATGATGCTAGGTCCCGGCTGTATACAGGAGTGCTTATGGTTCAATTCTTCACCCTGGTGACGGTGTTGTTGCCTTTCAGTAAGCCATCAATTACCCTTCCTGTTGTTGACCAAATACTTATGACGTTGATGAAACTAAAACTAAACCTAATATTAGGAGATATTGCTCACCGCTTCAATGTGTCTACATCCATGGCAAGCATTGTGATTAGTCACTGGATTGACGTGATGGGTGAACAGTTCAAAGTCCTGATCCCCTGGCTTCCAAGAGAGACCATTCGTGCCACCATGCCCTTGTCGTTTCAGAGGAACTACCCTTGAACCACCTGCATCATTGACTGTGCCGAAAGTGCCATGCAGAGAGCCACAAACCACGACTCAAGGAGTGACACTTTCAGCCAGTATAAATCACGCAACACTGTGAAATATCTCGTCGCTGTGGCCCCTAATGGGCTAATCATGTTTATATCTGATGCCTATGCTGGCAGAAGCAGCGATAAGTTTATCACCATGGACAGTGGGTTCCTAGACTATCTGAGGGCTGGTGATGAGGTCATGGCGGACCGTGGGTTCACCATTCGAGACTTGCTTGATGAGAGAAGGGTCAGTTTGAACATCCCTGCTTTCACCTACAGGCGCAATCAGTTGACCAATGAGGAGACGACACGCACCAGGCGAGTAGCCAATGTCCGCATACATGTGGAAAGAGCAATCCAGAGACTGAAGTTGTTTAAGATTTTATCCCAGAATGTTCCCATCAGCATGGCACCGAAACTGGACAACATCTTAACCATCTGTGCTGGCCTAGTTAACCTGAAGAGTCCACTGATCAGTGAGGTTTAGAATCTTGCCCTGTGTCCCTGTCTACCAACACCCAGCCATGTTGTTCATTAAATACAGATAAACACAACAAATACTGCGTGCATTGTATTTTTTAATATTATATATGAATATTTTCATAGTGATGTAATTGTGTGGGCTGCTTTTGTATTTTACTTTTTAATACCTGTTAAGATTAAACACGCAATCTTTCTTGTTGAAGCCATTTGTTTAGTTTCCTCAAAACAATTAATTAATCCAGTGTTATTTATGTACAGTATGAGCTTACTATGAATTATGAACTGTGTTAAAATAAATTGTAGCACTCTAAGGATTGAAATTACATCAAACTTTATTTTCACTCAAACAGTAGGCACACTGATATATTGCACAGCATAAAGAGATCATGTAAACAATGGACATCTGTTGGCTCCTGTGGGCATGACCTAAATAAGGCAGTTTATTTTGGTTTTAAAATGCTGAGATATTTACTGCAGAACTGTAACCTTCCCTCAACAAAATCATCAACAATTTTCGGGAGCATGTGGGCAAAGTAGAATGTGCGCAGCCTTATGATATGCCCCTGGACAAAGCCTTGGTCGTAGGGTACTTCGATTTCTAGGTGCTCAGTTTTGTTCCAGATCACCAACTTGGAGTGCTGAAGCCCTGTGCAGTGCATCCCAATTTACATTTACATTTACATTTTAGTCATTTAGCAGACGCTCTTATCCAGAGCGACTTACAGTTAGCACATACATTATTTTATCGAACCCACAACCCTGGCGTTGCAAACGCCATGCTCTACCAACTGAGCTACATCCCCTGCCGGCCATTCCCTCCCTTACCCTGGACGACGCTGGGCCAATTGTGCGCCGCCCCATGGGTCTCCCGGTCGCGGCCGGCTACGACAGAGCCTGGATTCGAACCAGGATCTCTAGTGGCACAGCTAGCACTGCGATGCAGTGCCTTAGACCACTGCGCCACTCGGGAGGTAATTTGTACCTGCATGTAGTAGCCTTTTGGACCATTGCAGGCAATATGGTAATCTACCCTATCTCCGTTTGCCACAGTTGTGATTTCGCAGTTCTTTGTTGCCAAAAATTCTGCAAGTGACTTGTTTCCCATCACAGGTGATTTGATCTCCAACAGAATGTCGTTGTTTATCACTCCATCGGGAGATGCTGCAAGCCACGGTTCCTTTTCACACACCACTAAGCCTTTGGTTTCAATGCTGTTGCCCAGAGTTTCCAAATAGTCCCTTGCAAGTTCCTCCCCCTCCGCTCCTTGACGGGTTGCGGCATTGCCACGGAAGGATGGGTGTAAGTGTTCTGACAAAAACTTGTCAGGCGCCGTGGTTGAGCGAATGGGCACCTTTCTAGCTGTAGTAGTAGTAGAACCGTGTTCCCAAGCTAGCGTCGACATCGCTGTGTTTACACCGGCAGACGTTGTGCAAACAACTTCCGGCGGAAATTAAATGCATTTGTGTAGAGTTATGGCGCCACCCGGGATACAGCGCGTAAACTTGTGTATTCTTGGGCAGCGGAATGACCTTTGCCTCTCTCCAGGCCTGAGGGCACACACAGTCTTCTAGGCTTAATTTGAAGATGTGGCAAACAGGAGTCGCAATGTATTCCGCTACCAACTTCAGCAATTTACTGTACCATCCAGGTTGTCAGTACCAGGTGGCTTGTTCTTATTAATAGATAGCAACAATGTGTTTACCTCTTCCACACCAACTTTGGGGAACTCAGAATTACAGTGCTTGTCTTTCATTATTTGGTCCGTTATGCATGAATATGAAGCGTTTGTTGTTTGCATGTCATGCCTAAATTTGCTAATCTTGTCAACAAAAAAGTTATTAAAGTGGTTGGCAATATCAAAGGGTTTGTTATGAACAAGCCATCTGCCTCATGAAGGATGCAGCTGAGTTTGCTTTTTTTTGCCTAGAATTTCATTTAAGGTACTCCAAAGCTTTTTACTATCATTATTTATATCATTTATCAACAACTGTAGCATTGTAGCTAAGCCTAACCCTAACCCTTTTCCTAACCTTAACCTCATTCCCCTAACCTGCTACATCAATTCACCTAACCTGCTGTGTTAGTTCTCCTAACCTGCCACGTTAATTCACCTAACCAGCCACTTTAATTATCCTAACCTGCCACATGAATTATCCTAACCTGCTATGTAAACAAACCACCTTGGTGACAAATCATCAGGATCACCACACACTTCTATATATTTTCCCCACAAAACATAGAAACGTGCCATTTTCACATATGTTGATGTTGGGGTGGTGCTGGAGATTATGAATATTAAGTGGAACATTTGTGGAATTTACTTTGAAGGACCAATGGAATGGTCTAATATGTACACCGGGTGCCTGGCCAGGCCATGCAAAACGAATCAGCTACTGTGTCGCCGAATGAATGAATACAAGAGTTTTGCGGGAAATATTAACGCAATGGATCTAGATATCCTAAGAAGGGGTACATGTTTCATGAAGCGATTTAATATCTCAATTCTGAACAATTGTATTGCGGAAAAAAATGTAATATGATCTTGGTAATGATCATACTATCAACTCTTCTCTCTTTCGATGCTCTGCAAACCAAAAATATAGAGACTTGGTTTTGCAAAATATCAGACACCCCTGTCTTTTACGTTGGTTGCATCCACTTTGGCGCGAAATGCTGAAGCCACGCCTTCTTCATTCTACAGTCAGTCATACACAGACAGCTGCATGCTTTATGTTGTGTAACTTGCAATTTTACTCTAACGAGTTCTTCTTTAAACAAATACCCCAGGGAAATAGTTTATTTTACTACATATCTAGTTAGGCAGTTTTTCAATATGAGTTGGTAAGTTCTTCTGTTTTGTTTCAAAACGGTCTTTGTTGTGCAATCAGCTAGAGCTAGCTAAGGAAGGTTAGGTAGTAACCCTTGCTTAGTCTTCCTTGTTTAGAGATGGCTTGTTGCGGAAGCTTCCGTAGCCTGGCGTCCTTGATCAAGCAAGTCTAAACTATTCGATTTCACCAAAATAACGTTTCCAGTCAACAGAGCTATATTGAGTGTCTCTAGAACAATACTTACGATTCGAGGTTTTGAATGTGGCCTTCGCCATCAAATGAGTGTTTAAAACACGTTTGTATACAGCAGGGTCGCCTATTTTCTGCATGCTGTGCCACTGGGGCTGCCATTGTAGTCCATTCTATACCACATACATGTACCAAATAATCTTCTACATGCGGAAAATGGGAGACCCTGGATAAAAACGTGTGGAAAATGGGAGGCCCTGGATAAAAACGTGTTTTAAACGCTTATCTGATAGCAAAGGACACATTCAACACGTCGAATCGTAAGTATTGTTCCTAGAGATATTGGATATGCCTCTTGACTGGAAACGTTATCATGGTGAAACCGAATAGTTTAGATTTGGTTGATCAAGGACTCCTGGCTACCGAAGCATCCGAAACGAGCGGTCTGCAATGGCTAGTTGCGGGATGAAGCAATGGTAGCCCTAGCGCAATGACCTAGCTGGCTAGGGCGCTGGTAATAACGTTAGTGTGGTGTTTCAAAGCTAGTTATCTGAACTGCTAATTTGCCATACAGTTAACACAGGCAAGATTATTTATCAGACTCACATTCATTGAATATTCACTCACAACACAGTGTAAAGGAAGAAACCCGAAGCGTGTCTCCTCATTGTCCGAAGCCTAACGAATCGGAAAAACCCCTGGGTACGGCTATGGAGGAGACTTTGCCAGGAAATGGTAAGTAACGTTAGTTATAAACACATTCATTGGCCAGCGGTGGCTAAATAGGTAGTAGTATCATTAGCTAATTGAGAATTCTCCCCTTCATGTAAATTAACCATATCACCACTTGTTCTCAGCAGCTGCAAGTGTGAAAGCTGAAGCTGCGGTGTCTGAAGTTGTCATCACGAAAGAGATGGCGGAAGAGGAGAAGCAGTTGACGGTGAAAGGAGAGAAACAAGAAGAGGAGATTATGAAAAAGGTTTCTTAGTAAAAAAAAAAAAAAAGTTGTAACATCTTTGAACAACTGTATTGATATTGTTGTTTGGCAAGTGTAGATGTTATTAATGCCCAACAACATTGTAAACATTGTTTTACTAGGCTCGAGAAGCTCATGAGAAGGAATCTCATGACATTCGCTTCAAGAGACTGCAACACTTGCTGGAGAAAAGCAACATCTATTCCAAATTCCTTCTTACAAAGATGGAGCAACAGCAGCAGGAGGTAAGTCCTAATACCAGTGGAATGGATATGAATATTAGAAGTAGCCCTTGCACAGCATATTGTAACAACTACTACTTTTCCTGTTACAGCTCATGCGTGATGGGTGAACAAATGTGAATGAGCACAGTAATCTAGGGAGCCACTACCTTAGTCTCCCTCTGCGGTTATGTTAATCTTGAACTCTGCTGTAGCTATCCCTAATTGCTTTCCGACTCATGTTTTAATGGTCGGAAAATGCATGGAAACACGTAAAGGCAGGGGTCAAATCTACCCAAGGAGTGATAAGTCTTTGAAAAGACTTGTCTAACTGTACTTTTTCCCTGTAAACCCAGGAAATGCTGAAGAAAGAAAGACTGGAAAAGAAGGCAGAGAAGGTGAGTGAGTTTTACTTTCTTTGTTGAGTCGTTTTTTGTTATGTTTCAGTTACAATTGCTGCCAGCAGCTCCTTAATCACTGACCTTATCAACTTTTCTGTCACAGGGCATTGGCAAAAAGACTGGGAGAGGTAGGCAGCACTTGTGTCCCGTTACTTTGCATCCATGACAATTGAGTTCCTCTCTATAGTTGATTTGGAAACACAGTTTATATTGACGATTTCCGACTTAAGTTTCTGTGTTGTTTTTTCAGTGGAAAAAAAGAAAAGGGAGAGAGAGGAAGATTACAAAATTGCTGATGTCATGTCTAAAGAGGTAAGGAGGTCTCTCTTTTAAAATATAGACAAAGGCCTATTTCACTCTATATTTTGGATTTTTGCATATTACATTTTTTGGCATGTTTTTGTTTCAGGAAATTATGTCCAAGGCCAAGAAATGTAAAGTGGAGGAAGAGGTAAAGGACTTTTGTTTATACACTGCGAGGGACATTTTTGTACTGATCTTTACTCTTACAGACTCAAGAAGTTGGAGAGCGTTGAGATCTCCTAGATATACCGTACCTCAAATGTCAATAATATATCTCTGTACATGAATAACAGGAGGTCCCCGGGATGAAGAAGCTGGAAGCAGAGGACATTGAAAAGATGAGTGACTCCAATGCTGACATCAAGGGCCGTCTGTCGGAGGCTGTGAGAGACAATGCCAAGCATCTACTGGACCCAGACAGGAAGGTAAACGGGCAGGCAGTGCCCGCCCAGCAGCCCCTGCTCTTCACTGGGGGAGTCATGAGGTCTTACCAAATAGAGGGTGTGGAGTGGCTCAGGGTGAGTGTGGACTGTTGATTATGCATATTTTGTTTGTTTGGTAATTGATCATAGAGATACAGTATTTCATACTATCCTTGGTGTGTTTGTATTTTTTTAAATCCAGATGTTGTGGGAGAATGGTATCAATGGGATCCTGGCAGATGAGATGGGTCTGGGGAAGACCATCCAGTGCATCGCCCATGTGGCCATGATGCTTGAGAGAAAGGTGCTGGGACCCTTCCTGGTAGTGGCCCCCCTGTCCACTCTGCCCAACTGGATCAACGAGTTCAAGCGCTTCACTCCAGAGGTAAAAACCACTCCTCGCTAAAAATAAGTGTTCAAAGTATTACATAAGTTGTGCAATTGATACCATTTTAAAAGTGAATACATGTCATGTGTATCGCCAATTACTGATTGACTTCACTGTTAAATTGTCTTTGTTCATCTTGTTGTAAGGTGTCAGTGCAGCTGTACCATGGGCCTGCTAAGGATAGGATGGCATTGTTAAAGCAGATTCGTAAGCCCCAGGGGCCTCACAACATGTACCCTGTGGTGGTCACCTCCTTTGAGATTGCCATGATAGACAGGACGTTTCTACAGGTAGGCCCACCTCCCCCACTAATATCATCTCTATGTAGGCTGTAGAAGTTACATTTATTACTTTTCTGTACTTGGTATTCTGATGTAGCCGTTGATTTGTAACTTACGATACTGAGCTCTTATCTATTGAAAGGCACGAGCATAACTTTCCTTTTCATGCAAATAATGCATTGATGTCAAAAGTAAATTTGCATAAAAGTTTGAATTATGCATGCATACTTCAAGTTGTGCAACCTATTTAACCCATTCAGCCTCTCACTGATAACCCCCCTCTTGCTTTTCCTCCCTAGCGCTTCCACTGGAAGTACCTGATCGTGGACGAGGGCCACAGGATCAAGAACCTGAACTGCCGGCTGGTGAGGGAATTGAAGATGCTGCCCACGGACAACAAGCTGCTCCTGACAGGCACACCACTGCAGAACAATCTGGCTGAGCTCTGGTCACTGCTCAACTTCCTTCTGCCTGAGGTGTTTGACGACCTCAAGAGGTAGAGGACATGTCTGTCTGTCTTTGTCGGTCTGTCTCTGTTGGAATGGGACTATATGGAATGTTTTTTAATTTTGCCTTGCTAAAAGAAAAAGTGTAATTGCACTTCACCTATATCTCTACAGCTTTGAGTCGTGGTTTGACATCGACACCGTTGGTTCGGATGCAAAAAATGTTGTGCCTAACGAACGAGAGCAGAACATCCTGCACATGCTCCACCAGGTAGGCCTCTCACTGACTAGCTCTGCAATCCACTGGGAACAATAAAATGGTTAAACAAGTAGATGACCAGTAGGGAGTTGTCCATAAACTTTCTAGTTCATCTGCAGATTCTGACGCCATTCCTGCTGAGAAGACTGAAGTCTGACGTGACGTTGGAGGTGCCGCCCAAAAAGGAGATTGTTGTGTATGCCCCACTCACTGCCAAACAGGAGTCTTTTTACACTGCTGTGGTCAACAAGACCATCGCCAAAATGCTGGGCCAGGAGAAGGTAAGGCCCTCAGTTCACTGCTACACTGTCATATGGTTATATAGAAAAACATAGGTATAGAATGGCGAAAATGTATGCATTGCCGACTTCTCAGATGTCAGACTTTGTTTGAAGGAGGTTTCTAACAGACGTGTCCCCTTTGACGTGTCAGGTGGAGGCTCCAGTGGTGCTGACGACCGACGGCAGGCCTAAGCGCAGGACCAGGAGGCCTGTGGACTACAAAGAGACTGATGGTGACACGCCCTACGACCTGGAGAAATACCTGGCGAGGGTTCAGAAGGAGGCAGAACAGAGGTCAGAATATCCTCTACTATGGCAGTGTTCTGTGTGAAGCAAACATGTGGTGCGGTGCCCATAGAAATTGAATGATTCTATTTGAATGGCTTTGCCTTTACCCACTAGGGGGTGCACTGGTCATACCAATGATAGTCTGTATATTTTCTACATTATATGAATTGATACACACACACACACACACACACACACATCCATGAAGACAAACTACATGATCGTACCAATTAGATTTTTTGTGAATGTGAAACTCATTTTAAACTTGCATTTTAATGTGGCCTCCCCTTAAAATAAATTAACTAAGAAGACTTGAGGTTGATAGTTGCCCCAGCAGAGGTCTAACGTGTTGCCTGTCCCTGTCCTCTCCAGACCTGCCCCAGTGGTAGACGTGCAGATGCCCATGGACTCCCAGATCAACCTGAAACTGCAGAACATCCTCATGCTGCTGAAGAGGTGCTGTAACCACCCCTACCTCATAGAGTACCCATTGGACCCGGCCACTCAGGAGTTCAAGGTAAAGGCCCCGCTGGATTGCAATGGCTTCTGTAACAAAATTCTGTAGAAATGACACGGCCAATGAATGTTGTGTGTGCATTCGTGACTTCTCTCAGCACAGCTAAGTAGAGGCTTTGTCAGAGTGTTTAGGGAGTTAGACTGCCATTTGGTGTAGCTCATGTGTAAATACATGATCTTGTGTTTCACCCTCTGAATCTCTTTCCCTTGCAGATTGATGAGCAACTGGTACAGACCTCAGGGAAGTTCCTCATTCTAGACAGAATGCTGCCAGAGCTGAAGAAGAGAGGACACAAGGTAAACGCCCAAATACAATTATTATACTTAATGTCCTCAGTCAAGTGATTCATTTTAACTCCCCAAAATGTAGCTTGACCATGAATATGTATTTATTGAGAGATGTTTGTGACTACTTCTGACCTGACCTTGTCGACAGGTGCTGATTTTCAGCCAGATGACATCCATCTTGGATATCCTAATGGACTACTGCTACCTGCGGGGTTACCTGTACAGCCGACTGGACGGGAGCATGGCCTATCCCGACAGAGAAGAGAATGTGAGTAGTGGCAGGTTCTACTCCCCACAATGGAATTATCCTTCTTAAAGCACTCATTACCATGAAGCAGTCATAAAGCGCTTATAATTAGGGCTGCACAATTATTCAAATTTTGATCGCAACAGTCTGCAATATTTTGACGCTCCACTCCACGGTGTGTAACGTCTGTTTTTTATAGTTTACTCCGTTTGCTACTTGAGACGTCTCGCTCCCCCTCTCCTGCTGCACACGCACACCAAGCCCCGGCCCCTGTCACTCAAGGAGCGCAGTTGCTTGCCTTACCCACTTGCTGTTCCTTCCAAGTTCACTCATGGTCAATGCAACAAGATCTTGATGACAAAGATGCTGCTTTCCACTTTGCGTCTTAATATAAATCCACATGCGTTTTATAATGACACTATTTCTTTGTGTATAGAACTCTCTGCAAACAGCTAGTTAGTCTTTTCTTAGCAAGTTGTGGCCAAAATAATCTGTGTTAGCCGCTAATCACTTGTTGGCTAGCTAGTTAGCTAAAGGCATTGAGCTAGAGCAAATGTAGCTAGTTAATACATTCTGATACCACTGGTGCTGTTTGCCTGGCTACCCAGACTCAGGGCTTTCTGATTGGTCCAGAAACCGATGGGTTGGGCCAGAGCCAGAACACACGTGGGTAAAGCGGCGGTTTGAAAATTCGTCATTGGCTTTGATACTCAGATTGGTTAGAGACGATCCAATCGCTGATGTCTTTGTCTTGTACAATACCCCTCGTCACCACAAACGACTTCAATGATGGCAAAAGTATGTAGCGAAATACAGAGCAGCAGAATAATTTTGTGAGTCGTCAGGCTATGGTGCTGTAGGACTAGATCAGCATATTGTTTGTGCAACGGTAAGTCGGAGAGGAATAGGCAAAGCATGAATATGTAACATTTTTCCTCTACCTTATGATTAATGTAACATCTATTCAAATCTACACGGAACAAAAATATAAACGCAACATGTGAAGTGTTGGTCCCATGTTTAATGAGCTGAAATAAAATATCCCATGAATTGTCCATATGAACAAAGAGCTTATTTCTCTCAAATTTTGTGCACAAATTAGTTTACATCACTGTTAGTCACCATTTATCCTTTGGCAAGATAATCCATCCACCTGACAGGTGTGGTATATCAAGAGGCTAATTAAACAGCATGATCATTACACAGGTGCACCTTGTGCTGGGGACAATAAAAGGCCACTCTAAAATGTGCAGTTTTGTCACAAAACACAATGCCACAGATGTCTAAAATTCAGGGAGTATGCAATTGGCATGCTTACTGCAGGAATGTCCACCAGAGCTGTTGCCAGACAATTGAATGTTCATTTCTCTACCGTAAGCCCACTCGAACGTTGTTTTAAAGAATTTGGTAGTACGTCCAAGCCTCACAACCGCAGACCATGTGTAACCATGCCAGCCCAGGACCTCCACATCCTGAGACCAGCCACCCGGACAGCTGATGAAACTGTTGGTTTGCACAACCAAATAATGTCTTCACAAACTGTCAGAAACCGTCTCAGGGAAGCTCATCTCTGTGCTCGTCATCCTCACCTGGGGTTGACCTGAATGCAGTTCGACGTTGTAACTGTCTTCAGTGGGCAAATGCTCACCTTCGATGGCCACTGGCATGCTGAAGAAGTGTGCTTTTCATGGATGAATCCTGGTTTCAACTGTACCGGGCAAGTAGCAGACAGTGTGGTAGCCCCATGATAGCGGAAGGGTTATGGTATGGGCAGGCATAAGCTATGGACAGCGAACACAATTGCATTTTATCGATGGCAATTTTAATGTGATGAGATCCTGGGGCCCATTGTCGTGCCATTCATCCGCCACCATCACCTCATGTTTCAGCATGATAATGAACGGCCCCATGTCGCAAGGATCTGTACACAATTCCTGGAAGCTGAAATTGTCCCAGTTCTTCCATGGCCTGCATACTCACCAGACATGTCACCCATTCAGCATGTTTGGGATGCTCTGGATTGACGTGTGTACGGCAGTGTGTTCCAGTTCCCGCCAATATCCAGCAACTTCGCACAGCCATTGAAGAGGAGTGGGACAACATTCCACAGGCCACAAACAACCGCCTATGCTAAGGAGATGTTGCGCTGCAATAGGCAAAAATGGTGGTCACACCAAATACTGACTGGTTTTCTGATCCACGCTCCTACCTTTTTTTTAAGGTATCTGTGACCAACAGATGTATACAGTTGAAGTCGGAAGTTTACATACACCTTAGCCAAATACATTTAAACTCAATTTTTCACAATTCCTGACATTTAATCCTAGTAAAAATTCCCTGTCTTGGGTCAATTAGGACCACCACTTTTATTTTAAGAATGTGAAATGTCAGAATAATAGTAGAGATTTATTTCAGCTTTTATTTCTTTCATCACATTCCCAGTGGGTCAGAAGTTTGCATACACTCAATTAGTATTTGGTAGCATTGCCTTTAAATTGTTTAACTTGGGTCAAACGTTTCGGGTAGCCTTCCACAAGCTTCCCACAATAAGTTGGGTGAATTTTGGCCCATTCCTCCTGACAGAGCTGGTGTAACTGAGTCAGGTTTGTAGGCCTCCTTGCTCGGACACGCTTTTTCAGTTCTGCCCACAAATCTTCTATAGGATTGAGGTCAGGGCTTTGTGATGGCCACTCCAATACCTTGACTTTGTTGTCCTTAAGCCATTTTGCCACAACTTTGGAAGGATGCTTGGGGTCATTGTCCATTTGGAAGACTCATTTGCGGCCAAGCTTTAACTTCCTGACTTATGTCTTGAGATGTTGCTTCAATATATCCACATAATTTTCCTTCCTCATGATGCCATCTATTTTGTGAAGTGCACCAGTCCCTCCTGCAGCAAAGCAGCCCCACAGCATGATGCTGCCACCCCCGTGCTTCACGGTTGGGATGGTGTTCTTCGGCTTGCAAGCTGCCCTCTTTTTCCTCCAAACATAACAATTATGGCCAAACAGTTCTATTTTTGTTTCATCAGACCAGAGGACATTTATCCAAACACTACAATCATTGTCCCCATGTGCAGTTGCAAAACGTAGTCTGGCTTTTTTATGGCGGTTTTGGAGCAGTGGCTTCTTCCTTGCTGAGCGGCTTTTCAGGTTGTCGATCTAGGACTCGTTTTACTGTGGATATAGATACTTTTGTACCCGTTTCCTCCAGCGTCACAAGGTCCTTTACTGTTCTGGGATTGATTTGCACTTTTCGCAGCAAAGTACATTCATCTCTAGGAGACAGAACGCGTCTCCTTCCTGAGCGGTATGACGGCTGCGTGGTCCCATGGTGTTTATACTTGCGTACTATTGTTTGTACAGATGAAAGTGGTACCTTCAGGCATTTGGAAATTGCTTCCAAGGATGAACCAGACTTGTAGAGGTCTACACATTTTTTTGAGGTTTTGCCTGATTTCTTTTGATTTTCCCATGATGTCAAGCAAAGAGGCACTAAGTTTGAAGGTAGGCCTTGAAATACATCCACAGGTACATCTCCAATTGACTCAAATGATGTCAATTAGCCTATCAGAAGCTTCTAAAGCCATGACAATTTTCTGGAATTTTCCAAGCTGTTTAAAGGCACAGTCAATTTAGTGTATGTAAACTTCTGACCCACTGGAATTGTGATACAGTGAAATAATCTGTCTGTAAACAATTGTTGGAAAAATTACTTGTGTCATGCACAAAGTAGATGTCCTAACCAACTTGCCAAAACAATAGTTTAAGAAGACATTTGTGGAGTGGTTGAAAAACAAGTTTAATGACTCCAACCTAAGTGTATGTAAACTTCCGACTTCAACTGTATCTGTGTTCCCCGTCATGTAAAATCCATAGATTTAGGGCCTAATGAATTTATTTCAATTGACTGATTTCTTTATATGAACTGTAACTCAGTAAAATCTTAAATTGTTGCATTTTATATTTTAGTTCAGTGTAATTAGGCCCCCCTGGGAAACACTGACCAACACTTTGTTTCCTGCCCCTGTCACAACCCCTCCTCCCTGGCTTTTTGATTCGTTGTCATGCCAAACAACACTATTTGAGGTGCCCACTGTATTCCAACCATAGAGTTGGAATAATATCGCAAGTAATATTGCAAGTCAATCGCAATATTTGCTCAAAAACAAAAATTACATTATTTGCCCATATCGTGCAGCTCTAATTATAATAATGTAGCAGTCATTCTCCATCACTATTTATTGTGTTGTGAGCTTATCCCTCACTATATTTTTTTTGCAGATGGCAAAGTTCTCTTCTGACCCAGAGGTGTTTCTTTTCCTACTGAGCACCAGAGCAGGTGGCTTGGGCATCAACCTGACTGCTGCTGACACGGTCATCATCTTTGACAGTGACTGGGTAGGTGTAGAACTCATGCTCTCTGGCTGAGCTTAACAACCGTTGCTTACTACTACATGTTTGGTACTGATTGGTCTAGTGCAACACGATAATTCATGGACTTCTTCTGTCAGAACCCCCAGGCTGACCTGCAGGCCCAGGACAGGTGCCACCGTATCGGGCAGACCAAACCCGTGGTGGTGTACCGACTGGTCACTGCCAACACCATCGACCAGAAGATCCTGGAGAGAGCCTCAGCCAAGAGGAAGCTGGAGAAGATGGTAATTCACAAGAGTGAGTAGAGTACCACTCCTCTCACATCCAGGACACATCAAAGCTGTTATTAGATTGAGGGGAATGTGAAACCCACCTGAATAGAAGGTGCATGGAAGAGCTACTAAATATGTCAGAATAGAAAACTATTGTAATAGTGATTTAGGTGATTGTGGTGCATGTGTTCCAGACCTGGATTCAAATGCATGTATATTTGAGGATCTGGTATATAAAATACTTTTTCTGTGTGTTTTCAAATACACAGTGCAGAACAAGTATTTTTGAATGGTTATTTGTAAAAACCAAATAGTCTGCCAAATTGTATTTGACAGCAGTTTCAAATACTTCCAGACCACGTGTATGGCATCATGTGGGTGAGCGGTATGCTGATGTGAACGGAGTGCCCCGTGGTGGGGTGGGGTTATGGTATGGACAGGCATAAGCTATGGATAACCAACCCAATTTGTATTTCATCGATGGCAATTTGAACGCACAAAAATACTGTGACGAGATCTTGTGACCAACAGTTGCATATCTGTATTCCCAGTCGTGAAATCCTAGATTAGGGCCTCATTTATTTATTTCAATTGACTGATTTCCTCTAACTCAGAGCGTTTTTATATATTTTTTCAGTATATTTAAAATACTATTTTCAAATACCTGGGTTTAAATGCATGGGAGTGTATTTGAGACATGTGGTGGCAGGTAGCTTAGCGTTTAGAGCATTGGGTCAGTAACCGAAAGGTTTCTAGTTCAAATCCCCGAGCCGAGGGTCTCTCTTTCCATTTCACACCTCACACTTGTACATGCAACATTTTCTCTTGGCTCCATGGAGGAATTTGTAGAATTGCAGGACATTTTCTTAAAAATGAAAACATTTCTCTACACCGCCAGGATGGGGGGGCCTCTAAAATCTTCTCAAATTCAACTGGCTGACCGCACTCCCTGCCACGCCCACCACCTAAGCCCCTTTTTGATCCAGAAAAAAAACTACCTTTCCAAGTGCATTTCCAAATACATTTACATATTCAACTTACTTTGAATGTATGTGAAAGTAATTGAGATATTTCAAATAGTATTTGAACGCATGTCTGGTGTGTTAATTTGAAATTCCAATTAAATTCTTGAATTCACTCATGAAGTGAAGAATCATGTTGAATTCAATTTGAATTTCCACAATCTTCAAGTTGTGGAATTGAATTGGAATTCGACAGTTTTGAATTGGAATTGTAAAAACATTTAATCTTGAACTGAATTGGAATTCAATGTTTGTACATTTCCCAGTTATGTCTATTGACACACCTGTGCGTCAATTTAAGTGGCATAAAAAAAATCCCCATCAAAATCCGGCAGTTTAAGATAGAGATTTGCATGGGCTTCGTCTCAATCCACCACATCAGCCAATGTCGGCCTTCCGCAGCTGCGGTGGAAGGTGGCCGAGCTACAGCTGTATTTGGCTGTAGCTCGGCCACGAGACATCCTGAAAATCGGTCTTCTCACAAACGTCTGAATGGTTTGGCCTACAAACTAATATGATCACTGTGTGGTAAGATGGGACTCTCACAAACATGATGGTGTTCTCGGTTTTGCTCTACGACCCCACAAGTATCACGGGACTTAACAAATGAATGGAAGTTTAGAGGTAGTTTTGTGCCAACAAAAATAAGGGTTTAAATATGTGTCCAAAAAAATCCCAAAATGTCCTGAGCTTCCTTATATCTCCTAGATATGGGACACACTTCAAAACCGTATTCCTTGTGATACATTTTTTTCCATTTATGAATGTGCTATTCAATGCGTTTCTATGGGCTATAGTAGTAAAGGCCAAATTCAATATTTTATCAAATAGTAAAAGGTCCTAAAATTAAAAATCAAATGACTAAATGATCCATGTTATTACCATCTTAAAACCATTCCATATGTTAACTTTGTAGAAGCCCCCTCCCCCCCCAACGGTTTAGACTTTGAGAGGTTAATGTTACTAATGCACTTAGTATCAAAGCTATATTTCTATATTTCCAGTATAGCTAAGCTGTCTGAACAGTGACATGATCAGCCTAAAATCCTGAGGGAATTTGTGGAATTGTTGGGGATAATATTTAATTGAATTCTTGGAATGAATGTAACATTTGAATTGAGGAATTTAATTATCTCTGAATTCAAAGACTGACCTGGAATTTGAATTTAATTAAATGGAATTTACAGGGATATTGAATTGAATTTGTAAAATTAACACCAAACCACATTTTGGTACCTTTTTATATTTATTAGAAAAATTCAAAGGAGGAAAGGCTGAGCTCAAACAGACCAAGAGCTGCATCGACGTGTCCGAGCTGATGGATCTTCTCAACACCAGAGATTACGAGAAGTACTAGAGATTTTCTTCCATTGTTGATACATTTCACATCATATATTGTATTTTGATCTCATTGTATTTTATATTTTCATTATAAAACTCATTAGAGAAATAAACATTTAATTTAATAATTTTAATTTTAAATTAATTTTTTAAATTTAATTTAATTTTTTAATTTATATTAGGTTGGTCAGAAGTCTATGGTTATCTAATGACTGTTTCTTGTTATTTTCAGGGAAGTGAAAAGCACCAAGGGGAAGGTCATTAGTGACAAGGACCTGGAGTTTCTGCTGGACCGCAGTGACCTACTGGGTGAGTTAAGCTGTGGGTTCTATTCAATTCACAACTACTGTCATCATGAATGAGATGTTGGGGTGCTTTCTAGAAAGTTGTCATACATGCTTCACAATATACTAAAGTCCTCTGTCTTTGTCAGGGTGCTTTACCACTGCGTAGCACCAGTGCCTCCCACCGTAACATGGTCATCCAATGAAACCTCAACGTCATATTTTCTATCATTAGAAAACCTTTTTGGGCCTCATAGTTGTATTGTGTGTGTAATGTAACCATTTGTCTCTTTCCAGACAAGGCCAAGAGGAGCTCCAAACAGGAGAAGGTTGGAGTTTTCAAGGTGATCGAAGCCAAAGAATCATCGGAGATCAGCTTGACCTAAGTTTGAAAAGCACAGACATGATACTCCTAAAGGAATAACCTAAAAAACCTTAAGCTAGAGCTGGATCCTAAGGGTCCACGACGCTGCTGTTGGTTATAGTACTGAACCAACTTAGACAGGAACCAGAGAACTTATTCAACCCATCCTCCTGAAACTACAGAGGAAAGGTTTTGATGTCATTTTCTTAACGGCTTATGGTAAATGTTTATATTTTTGTTGTGGAGTTTGTCAAATGCTGTTGGTTATGTTGGAGACTGAAACCTGTCTTCCAGAAACTAGTGTTTATATACACAGTGAACAAAACATTAGGAACACCTTCCTAATATTGTGTTGCACCCCCTTTTGCACTCAGGACAGCCTCAATTTGTCAGGGCATGGACTCTACAAGGTGTCGAAAGCATTCCATGTTGACTCCAATGCTTCCCACAGTTGTCAATTTGGCTGGATGTCCTTTGGGTGGTGGACCATTTTTGATACACATGTGAAACTGTTGTGTGAAACCCAGCAGCGTTGCAATTCTTGACACCCTCAAACAGGTGCTCCTGGCACCTACGATCATACCCCGTTCTCTTACCCATTCACCCTCTGAATGGCACACATACACAATCCATGTGTCAATGCTTAAAAATCTTTCTTTAACCTGTCTCCCCCCTTCATCTAAACTGATTGAAGTGGATTTAACAAGTGACATCAGTAAGGGATCATAGCTTTCACCTGGATTCACCTGGTCAGTCTTTCATGGAAAGAGCAGGTGTTCCTATGTTTTGTACACTCAGTGTATAATAGAGTATTTTTAAGTAATTGACAAATCGCTGAACTGACATAATGTTTGCTATGGAATTGGATGATGTTTGGACTTTTACCCATTTAGGTGCAATGATGATTAAATCACTTGAAGTAATCATTCATAAGCCCTACTTGAATTGGAATCAATTACTTTTCACAATACATGAAAGTAAATGCTGAACTCTTATATCTTGTCCAGTTCACTTAACGGGTTAATTGACACTGTATGTTGGACCAAAACTCCAAGCACTTTTATGTAAGGAAAGGTATTTATTTACAACAGAGACCATGTCCTTTTAATTGTTTTGTATGCAACCCCTTTTCTAAAAATAAATAAACTAACACCTGAATGTGTAATTATTCTAATGTGAGTTCTATTTCTTATAATAGATTAACATAGTGCTGCTTACATACAGACAGATGACGGTCTGTCAAAAGGCATATGGCAAAAAAGATGAATGCATCTTTGTCTTTGAAAGGGGTATCCATGTTTTCACATGTATTAATAAAACAACAATGTATGGTTGGGAAGCAATGTGAGCTATAAAAACAGAGTTGCGCACTCCATATGTATAACCTAGTAATTTATTGTGTAAAAAAACAAACAACGTTTTGGCATCATTGTGCCTTCTTCAGGGTAATGTCATGAACGCTTGAACCAGGTTATGTAGACAAAAAGTGCAATTAGTGCAACCAATGACAATACTGAGGGGTGTGTTGTAATTGATAGATTGATCAGATTGAATTGAGCAAAACTGTTAAGACAATAGCAACATACTCAATGCCAGTGTATTTGAGGGAGGAGATAGGATGGTTAGCTTCAACAAAGTGAGCTGCTACTGGATAGTCGGTGTTATTACACCTGATTGAGCTGCGGTGTTCAGCTATGCTTTGTTTTCATTGTCTTTTCGTTTGTCCTACGTAGGCTTTCCCACATGAACAGGTAATGAGATAGATTACTCCCCTTGTCTTGTATGAGATTATACCCCTAACAGGGATTTTTTTACCTGTATGTGGGTGTCTGAAGAAGGATCTTTTTGTAGTGCTATTGCACTGTGTGCATGGGCCACATTTGTAGTTTCCATTTGGAATGGGTGTCAAGAGTGTCTGAGTGGGCTCGGGGCAGGTCAGATCTCACTAAGCTATCCCCAATATTGCGACCACGCTTATAGACCACCAGTGGATGTTCCTTGAAGAGGTGAGCAATTTTTTTGTCTGATTGCAGATTATGCCAGTGCTTTTTCAGGATTGCTTTCATTTTCTCCGAACACTTGGTGTACTTAGTGCAAAATACTGTTGCGTTGTTTTTCTTCTTTGGTTTAGCTTTTAGCAATTCCTCTCTTGGTTTTTGAGATATTTTCATCATTGCAGCATTGAGAGTTTTATCCATGTAGCCTCTCATTTTGAAATTTATCTGTCATTTTCTTAGCATTGCTGTCAGAATCTGACTGGTGGCCACAAATTCATTTAACCCTGCATAACTGGTTATATGGTAGACCATTCTTGAGGGGAAGGGGATGCATACTATCCACACGTAGCAGGGTATTGCGGTCTGTGGGCTTTGTGTATAAGTCTGTATGTAATACACCATTCTCTTTTCTTTCTCTCATCAGTCTGCATGGTGAATTTGAGATATTCAGAGCTCTCGTTTAACAGAGTTTGTAATTCATTTAGTTCCTGCTGACTTCCTTCCCAGAGCACAAAGACATCAATCTATGTATCTCTTCCATAGGAGGATTTTTGAAAGTAGGGGGTGTGTCTCTGTTTTATAAATGAGTGCTTCCTCAAATTGTCCCACATACAGGTTCGTATAGTTGGGGGCAAAAGGGATGCCGATGGCTACAACCTGAATTTGAAGGAAAAAGTCTGACTCAAAGATGAAGTAGTTATTGGATAATACCAGTTCAGCGAGTTGCAAGATGCAATCATTGGATGGAGCAAGGGAAGCAATGTGAGCCACCAAAAGTTGACGTAAACAGTTCACATACATTGGGGTTATTCAGAGTAAAAAGAATTAGAAGAAAAGGCTCTGTCTCTTACAAGAGAACAGCAAAATCATTACAAGCACCTTCTGTCATTCAAAGATCAGCAATTGTTATACAGTGTTGAACTCGGTTGCACCTGCACAGTAGGAGCTAGTGAACACACCCTCCATTCTCTCCAAAAGCCTCTGATGTCAGTGTGCTCAGCCCTGCACACACGACTGGGGTGTGGTCAGAGGACACTAATCTGTCTGGTGCATTTTCAACCTCTGCTCTGACTTGAGACTTAACCTAAAACAAAAAAATACTAGTACGGTATTGACATTTTTATTCAACACTGGAATTAAGTTGATTCTTCAGTGAGGACTATTTTGTGGTAGGGCAAATCTTACTTGTTTTAAAAAAAAGAAGGTGTTGGCGGTTACTTTTGTGCAGTATCTCTGTTCTAGTATCTATTTTGACAGTGTGTTAACCTAGTCTGACCACTTTACCGGATCATTGTCATATGTGTGCCTTAAGTTTTTCGGTCTAACTAAACCATGGACCGTCTGAAGTTAGTTCTGCAGTATTTTCAGTCCAACTCCGAGTCCATATCAAATGGAATCTGTATTGTACTGGCCCTGATCAGTGTGAAGCTCTACACCAGCTTTGACTTCAACTGCCCCTGTATTCCACAATACAACAAACTCTACGCACTGGGGGTGATGTTTGTCCCACCTTTAATATTCTTCTTCCTGGGAATCTTGGTCAATCGACACACAGGAGTCATGATGGAAGAATGGTTGAGACCCATTGGGAAGAGAAGCAAAAATCCTGCCATTGTCAAGTGAGTTGTCAAGTGCTGCTGTCAAACCACCTTCTCATGTTCCTGTGTTTACTACCACTACCATCACAGCTTTTAGACCAAAAAACAACTATTACTTCCTGTAATTATTGTGATGTTATTCCTAACCCTTTGCAGGTACATGTTCTCTGCCATGATGCAGAGGGCTCTACTGGCGCCCATGGTGTGGATTCTGGTCACTCTGCTGGATGGGAAGATTTTCATCTGCGCTTTCAGCATGAGTGTAGACCCCAAGCCTTTCTCAGGTAGCTATAGCCCGAAACACCTGTCAATCATAACCTTAACTCATAGCACTGTAACTGTAACTCTGACTTTCACCCAAACTCTCACCCAGAATAAAAATGGTCTAGTCTTGTCCACTATAACACTCTAACTTGGACTCAAACACCAACTTTAGTTGTACTCTATACTTTCACAGGCATGCCCAACAACACTGGCCTGGACCTGATCAAGCTCATGGCCAAGGTGCCCTGCAAGGAGGACATGATCTTTAGGAACAGCACATTTCGTAAAGCTGTTTCACGCTACGTGCGCTGCTACTCCCAAGTGAGTGTACTCCCATTTTTAAATACCTCTGAAACTCATGTCTTTACTTTGCGTATTTTAATTGATGGGTTTAGTATTCAAATGGGCAAAAATGTTGTTTCTCTACTTAGGTAGGTTGGCTTTTGTTCGAAATTTGTACAGTCAAATCCTATTCTTAAACCGGGGTGTGTCAGAAACAATCACCCTGATGACTGATGTCCTCCACCATCCATTCGAGAATGCCAATGCTTTGTACTGTATTTCCTGACAGGCGATTGGCTGGTCTATCCTCCTCTTCTTCATTCTCTTGGGTGCACTGGGCCGTCTCATCAAGCCCTGTTTCGACGACCATGCCACCAACCTCCAGACACGCTACTGGAGCAACTACCTTGACATCGAGCAGAAGCTCTTTGATGAGACATGCGTGCTGCACTGCCGCGATTTTGCCCGCAAGTGCGTGGTGCAGTTCTTCGAGGGCATGCGGGATGACACAGTACTCAGACTGCCTCTCTCACCCGAAGTCAGGTACAGGGGGGAAGAAGACATGGTGGATGAAGAGGAGGAAAGACTCCATGGGATCACCAAGCAGGAACAGATGGATCAACTGCTTCAAACATGGTTCCAGTGTAGGCCTGAGCTGGATGTCACTAGAATGGCCTACAGACCTAGGGTGTGTGTCACCTGGGAGGACCACAATGGACAAACCCTCTACTCGGATGTTTAGATGTGTGTGTGTGTGTGTGTGTGTGTGTGTGTGTGTGTGTGTGTGTGTGTGTGTGTGTGCAATAGTATAAATAGCTATAAGCTACAAACAATACATTCAACATGATTATGTCGAAAATCCTATTAGAGAGTGGACCTTAGAAACCTTGTTCCTCTGAATATTTGAATATGCTGGGATTTAGACTGGCAAGTTTTGCATAGTTCATTTACATATCCCATGAATACAAGACATGCAAATTACAGATGGCCGACAAATAGTCCCTAGTGGTGCCTGATTCATCTAATCCCAACAAATAAGTAATTCTATGTAATTATAATTTTACCGTATATATTTGAGTTAATCCCTGGTAATGTCTGTACCATAACATAAAGTGCCAATAAATATTATTATTGTAATTTACTGTATATGTACTAAAGGATACATGGCTTTAGTCACTCTCAGCTACAGTGCCTTCAGGAAGTATTCATACCCCTTGACATATTCCACATTTTGCTGTGGTACAGCCTGAATTCAAACAAATTCTCACCTATCAGAAACACGATACCCCATAATGACAAAGTGAAAACATGTTTTTACAATTTAAAAATGATGTATTGAAAATGAAATACCGAAATATCTCATTTACATATTAGAATCACCTTTGGCAGCGATTACAGCTGTGAGTTTTTCTGGGTAATTCTCGAAGAGCTTTACACACCTGGATTGTACAATATTTGCACATTATTCTTTTTTTAATTCTTCAAGCTCTGTCTAGTTGGTCGTTGACCATTGCTAGACAGCCATTTTCAAGTCTTGCCATAGATTTTCAAGACGATTTAATTCAAAACTGTGACTAGGCCACTCAAGAACATTCAATGTCATCTTGGTAAGCAACTCCAGTGTACATTTGGCCTTGTGTTTTAGGTTATTGTCCTGCTGAAAGGTGAAGTTGTCTGTTGGAAAGCAGACTGACCCAGGTTTTCCTCTAGGATTTTGCCTGTGCTTTGCTACATTCCGTTTATTTTTATAAAAAAGAAAACTCCCTAGTCCTTGCCGATGACAAGCATACCCATAACATGATGCAGCCACCACCATGCTTGGAAAATATGAAGAGTGGTGCTCAGTGATGTGTTGTGTTGGATTTTTTGCAGTTTTTTGCAGTTTTACTTTAGTGCCTTATTGCAAACAGGATGCATGTTTTGGAATATTTTATTCTGTACAGGCTTCCTTCTTTTCACTCTGTCATTTAGGTTAGTATTGTGGAGTAACTACAATGTTGTTGATCCATCCTCAATTTTCTCCTTTCACAGCCATTAAACTGTAACTGTTTTAAAGTCACCATTGACCTCATGGTGAAATCCCTGAGCGGTTTCCTTCCTCTCTGGCAACTGAGTTAGGAAGGACGCCTGTATAATGTAGAGACAGGATGTATTGATACACCATCCAAAGTGTAATTAATAACTTCACTATGCTCAAAGGGATATTCAGTGTCTGATTTGTTAAATGTTACCCATCTACCAATAGGTGCCCTTCTTTACCAGAAATTAGAAAAACCCTCTGGTCTTTGTGGTTGAATTCGTGTTTGAAATTCACTGCTCGACAGATAATTGTATGTGTGGGGTACAGAGATGAGGTAGTCCTTCAAAAATCATGTTAAACACTATTATTGCACAGAGTGAGTCCATGCAGCTTATCATGGACTTATTTAGACTTGCCATAACAAAGGGGCTGAATACTTTACACTACATTTCAGCTTTTCATTTTTTATTAATTTATAAACATTTCGAAAAACATAATTCTACTTTGACATTATGGGGTATTGTGTGTAGGCCAGTGACACAAAATCTCAGTTGAATCCATTTAAATTCAGGCTGTGACACAACAAAATGTGGAAAAAGTCAAGGGGTGTAAATACTTTCTGAAGGCACTGTATATCTATCCCAGACTTGATAATAGGGTTATTGTCTTTGGTTAAAGCCATGATCATATGGTGCTGGCTCTGAAATAATCAATTGAAACAAAGTTGGGATTCACAGTTGCCAATCTGTCTCATGCAACAAAGACTACTGTGAATGGTCCAGGGACAAGGCTCTTGCCCCCCTCTCCCCGATGCCATCTTATCTTCTCCCAGGGCAAGTGAGTGATCTGTGTCACATTTCAGTTCAGCATGTCCCCATCCTAAGTTCACCCTCTCCTTTTCTGAGCCCAAAGACAGGACAAATACTTTGTAGTCATTGTGGCCCTCTCTTTGTGGTCCTGCATTTTGCCTTAGATAATTACTTTTTTGTTATTTTACTATAACACAAGATTGAGAGACTACACCAATCAAATTGTATTGATTGTTCAATCACAGGCTTCTAGACTGCATGTGATAGGCTAATTGACAGGGAGACAGTGTATTTGGAAACTTGTAGATGGTGTAAACTAGCTGCTGCTGTGTGCCTCTTGCATTCCTGGGTGTTTTGCCCAGGCTTAGCTAACCATGTTGTGAAAATCTGTGGCCTGATGTCCATGAAGCCAAAATTTCTTCCTTTTTTGTGCCCATAGTTTTAGCGATCACTGATTGTGCCTCATCAGGGGCTCTTGAATTTAAAAAAAAAACTAGATATCTTTTTCTAATGTATATAAACAAAATAAGGAACCAATCAATTGATTCTGATGGGTGGTCAAGGCTTTTAGACGCATGTGTACTGGCCTAGGACTGGTGAACAGGTTTGGAATGCGGCACGGGTAAGACCTGTGTGGGCCACTTATTTCCGCGTTTCGGGCAGGGTAGGCTAACCTGTGTGAAACTGTGCGACGATGTCTGAGAGTCAGAGCAACTGTTTTTGCAACTTTGGGTTGTCGGGTTTGTTTCATCACTGGTGTGCCAGTAAAAGACTTAAATGTAGACATAACTAAACTAAGTCGTCTGGATCAAGGAGCATCAAATGAATAAAATCAACATGTAAAATTTTACATGGGCTCTGCATTATTTACTGCGGTTCATGGTCTATTGACACAATGGGCACCCCATTCAACCACAAATTGACCTTTGGTAAGATATCAGAAAATACACAATCACCCACATCACACCCTGGGCTATATTCATTTCACAGGAGTTAGTCATGCCAGTGTGTGATGAGGATAAAAAAGAAACTGAAACAATACTGTAACCCCAGGATGACTTGCCAGTTTTAGACTACAAAACCAACACTAAGGAGCAGCCGTTGGGCTGGTAAATATGCTCTTTGTTGAGTCAGCATGTGCAGGCTTTGGGCCCACATGCTGGGGGTGGAGAGAAATATGCCCGGGTTATCTGTGAGGTTATCAACGAGACTGCTAGCTGTAAACATATGGAAACGACCCATTAACCCATTTCCTCCATTGCATCGCCCCATCAGTTACTTTAGCAAAAGGCTCCTCGACTCTATTTTCTTTTTGTCCCATAGTGTAGGAAGCTTTGTACTTTATTTAAAAAAGGCCTGTACATGTTCTTATACCCCTTGAGACTTTATAGGGCTACTGTTTCTCTGCTTTACTGTTCTAAATATAACCAAATGTCGTTAACACCAAGTTCCCCACAACCCTCCATTTGACTTTCATCAAAGCCTGATTGTTCATTCCTTTTTACATTGTTATTCTTACTGTACCCTCAACCAAGAGAGCAACATGCAAGAAACGACTTGTCTGGGTTTTTGTTGTGGACACATCAACGCCGTCCCCCCTCATCATAAATCTAGAGGCTAAAGGCAAACCTCCTCTATCGAGGTAACAACAGTAAGTATAGACTTACACACTGTCTGAGAGTCAAGCAGACTTGAATTACTAGGGAGAGTGTTCATGTGGTGATGTGGTAGTCAAGGTGTGAGCTGTAAATACACTGTAACCTATACATGACAGTACTGGATAGGACTCCCTGCCAGTGTCTTACAGTGTGATTCAGGAGGGTTGACCTTGGTGTACCCTGGCGAATAAGACTCATTACATTTACTTCTTCAGTTACTGTTTGTGTTTCTCTGATACGATATCTCCTGAAATATGTCATGTTGAAGCATTTCTCAAGCTTGTTCACCCACAGGTCATATTGTTACTGTTATCTCACACAAGCAGAACAAAAAAACGTATTAATCATAAAGTGTAACAAAGCTTAGCTTTTAAAATGTTAAAATGTATAGCTAGGTAAAATTCTTTACTTTGACACACTTTTATGGAGCTGAGGACTTTGGTTTTCATGGATGTCAAAACATCAATTATTTTCCAGTGTTAACATGTTAATGATACATTGCAACTGTCCACATACTGCATGTGGAAAACACTGTATTCTAAGTACTGTGAAAGACACAGCACAAGTCCCACACGCCTTAACAATTAATACAATCATTCTGACATATGTTCTGATTTATAATCATTATCATGTGTGCATAAACTAATCTCATAAAGGCCAAGTGTAGTTCAAAATGCCTTTTAAAGTTCAAGAGGAAACAGAACTTAAATTGATTTCAAGAACCTGTTATAGTTTTCACACAGAGGTGGCTAGAATTCCAAATCAACACACACTTGTATCAATGGATTTTGAAGTGTCAGCATTTCAAATAAATATACAACTGTATTCCAAGTGTGCTGTCAAAAAGAGAAAAATAAACTGGACATGCTCTTTCATTTCTACTAATGTGGGTGCTATTATGACCACAGTTGTTGTTAAAATAAAATGATTAATCAAACAACATTCAGTATATTATCTGATTAATATTGACAGGTTTTTACCTTGATTGACATATTAGTCATAACTCTTTCGAGATGATTTGCCAATACCATTACCGTCACAATGAATTGTCACATATTAGACTGAGATCTTAAATAATAAGCCACTATCCTATTTCTTCAGGTTAAAGGTGCACCCCAGTGCTTTCAGTCTATATGACTTTACTAAAGTTCAGGAACACCTAATATGTTTGTTTAGCAGCAACACCATTGCAGACACACAGTCAGATTTACTTAATAGCAGTCGGAATGCCTTATGATAACACAGACAATAATCA